TTTTTGTTGGCAGTGTTGCGGATTTTTTTCATACAAAGTATGTTCGACCATTTTTTTGAAAGAGAAGCAGAACTTTCCACTCGCACTTTATTGTACTAAATTATAATGAGTTACAAAACTGCGAACCAAATTTTTCTTCAAGATTCTAATGAAAAAGTTTGAAATTTTGGTGAAACATTGCAGAATTAATTTTTACAGTTTTTTGCATAAAGTTGGAAATTTGGTTTTATATGGTTTTTGTTAGGAAAAGAGCTCTACTCTCATAAAATAAATAATAAATATTAAACGAACGAAGGAAAAATAGCCAAAACTTACTAAAATGTCAATGTATGTATTCCTCAATACGAATCACATGCATTTAGATTAGAAAATAAAAACAGTTTATGGAGAAAATTACGATCATATACCAACATCACTTAAAACGCGTTCATAGGTATGCCATTTTAATGAGCTGTTAAGGCGTCAAAACACCGAATACGGGACAAATACAGGGCATTAAAATAAATACAGAACATTTGGCGTCCCGTATAAAATAAATAAATTACCAGGACAATGGGGCAAAAAAGCGGAGTGTCAGACGAAAGAGGTGCCAGCTGTTTTAAAAGTTTAATTCAAGCTACTCAATAATTTCAATGAATTATTTCTACACGTTAGGAGATTGTCACCTGTTTCAAATCTCAAATTGAATTCAAGATATAAATTAATTGAAAAAGTAAAAGAAATACTTTGAAGATGGTTAACCAAATTTAAAATCTCCTGTTTTTTCCATAATTTAAGTATGTTGTGATTTATTGAAATAAATTACTACTAATGTAGCACGCAGAAATTTCATACACTCAGCGAAGCGGGTGTCGGCCATCTAGAATATTTTAGTGAGTAACTGTTCATAGGTTGAACAATACAAAAACATATGCATATATTTTTAATTTATTTATTTTAAAACTAGTTTGCTCTCACGCGCTGCACTGAGTGTATGAAATTTCTGCGTATTACAATAGGTGTAATTTATTTCAATTAAAACTAACATATTTAAACTTAGCAAAAAAAGAGAATTTTTTTTTTTGGGGTTTTGGGTAGGTTGGCCGGTTTATATAAAACCACCGCCAGGTTATTCCTCTGCTTTCAAAATATATATCTTAGTACGTTGTATTCCAAATGTCGTATTCAATTGTCGCTCCACTGATACACGATGGTAATACCGCTAAGGGCCAGAACCACGTGCAAAAGCTTCTGCTTATGTAACGAACGTCTTATTATTTTCAATAATTAATCAATTATAGCAAATTAAAGTGTACTGTGATTTAATGGTCCACAAGTAACCAGGTTATTCCTCCAATTGTTAGGTATGTCAATGTATTAAAGATTAAAATTTAAATGGCTAAGAACAAAGTCCTCATGTCGCCAGGTTATTCCTCCAATTTGGTAATTTTTTGTATTTTAATGGCAGGGAGCTATGTCCTCATATCGCCAGGTTATTCCTCCAATTTGATAATTTTATAATTATTCGTCAATTATTTTAGGTTGTGTGTAAAAAATTTTCTGTTGCGTTATGTGGAACAGTTACAGTTCATGTTACTTTTTTTTTTATTTCGCAGTTACTTTGTTCATACGATAGTACCGTATCAACGGTACGCTTTAACATTTTCATTTAGTTTTTATATCAACTCTTTTTCTATAAACGTCTATTACTTTTGTAATTATTATATTATTTGTAGTATTATCTTCTCTTGTTTTTAAAACTTTTAATTTTGTATTTAATGAACCGACTTCATTTTTATGTATAAATTAATCAGATATTTACTTTAACACAAAACTCGACAGGTCAACACGACCATACTCGTCGAGGAGCCATTTTGAACAGGAAAAAGAGAATTTGAGATTTTTTTTAACCCCCTTCAACTAATTGTCAAACTAACCACTTCTTAAACTGAAACTGTCATGGAAAAATTCACTATGAAGGAAATGTTCTACAACTAAGTGATACATACCAATCGATTTCTTTGTTCGCCGAGACTCAAATTTGAAACTAAATTTTTATTTGCAATTTTCATGCAAAATGAAAAAAAAACAATTATTTTTGATTTTTGTATTATAAATCCAAAATAACCATTATTTCTGATTTTTATATTATATGTCTTAGATAATAGTTATTGAAGACTTTTATTTATAAAAGTCATCAATAAAAATCAGTCAGTGACTTTTAAATTTAAAAGTCATCAATATAAATCAGTCACCAACTTTTATTTTTAAAATCATTCGAGTAAAAGTCATTAACATTTTTCGCAGCTAAAAAGGTGTTGGGAAACAAAAGTTGACTACAACTTATTGAAATGACTTTTATAAGTATGATTTAAAAAATAAAACTCTGACTGATTTTTATTTATGACTTTTATAAATAAAAGTCTTCGATAACTGTTATCTAAGACATATAATTTAAAAATCAAAAATAACTATCATTTGCAGATTATTTATTTAAAAATCAAAAATAATCGTTATTTTCGATGTATAAAATAAAAGTCAGAAAGAAGAAGAGTAATTAAATAAAAGTCAAAAAATAGCGATTTTTTTATTAAAGTTTGTAACTGTTACGGTCCCTGCTTCTTAAACATACAAACTTTTTAAACCTCTTTCGTTATCTTATCACCAATACTCTGCCAAAAATGCTTCCATTCGTACGTAGTTTGAAAAATTCCCTTTGTATGGCAGGTGCCACGCCTACTTGCCTAATCGAGATAAAAGGTTTATTATATTTTAAATTTGGCTAAACAACACCAGTATACAAAATTTCATGATGATCGGTTGACCAAACAACCATATTCGCTTTCGGATGTATAATATTAAAAATAATATAATATAAGTAAGGATAAGTTTTTAAACTAAAATGCAAAAAGATAAAAGCATTTGTAATAGCATTTTCGTAGATTCTTTTTAGCTTTCACCATTCACATTGTAAACAGCGTCCATAAGGTAGATCGAAAAGTAGATCCTCTGTTGAAACAATTAGCTGTTCATTCTAAAAAACAAATGAAAATTTTATCAAAACATTGACTTGGGATATGTACATAGATTCAGTTACTTACTTCTATTATCGGTTCATTTTCGACTGCCGTCTTGCCACAATATAATTTCAAAGGACCACTTCGTTTAATCTCGCTGAGCACAATCATTATATTTCTCAAAAAATCGCTACTAATATTTGATTTTGTCAGATTTAGTACCTCCAACTTTGTGCAGTGTTTCGCAATTTCCAAAATTCCATTATCACTCTCCAAGCGACTGCTGCTGAAATGAAATTCGCGTAGCTGTTTCAATCGTTGGGCTAAAACTTCGAGCTGTTCGTCTTCAATGTCATCATCTTGTAATATAAGACGTTGCAAGTGTGTCATAAACCCTATGTATTCAATGTGGCGATCGTTTGACCAAAGGACACAATTAAAAATTAGCGTATGGATGCGTACGCCAAGCGCTTGAGCTAGTTTCCCCATTAAAAACACATCATAGTCACGTGTGTAACAAACGATTTTGCGCATGGATGGCATTCGCAATAGTTCATCGATGAAGAGCAATAGGTGATGATCATCTATCTTCAGCTCTTCCAATGTATGACAATCAGTTATCGCGGACAGCCCATCATCTAACACTGTGTTATATCCATAATAAAGTAAAGCAAGCTTTCTCAATTTCAATGTGTTGCAGATTTCGGCTAAATATTCTGTATCCAGATATTCACAACAGCTCAAATCCAAATCGGTAAGCAAGAACAGATTACTTATATATTTGCCCGTTATACCGCCCCCTAATACTAATCTGGTAATGTATGGGCAAAGTTTAGTTAATCGAAGAACGTCGGCATCATTGCTCTCATTTAGGTCGTGCGAAATAGTGCATTCGAGGAATTTTAATTTAGGGAATCTTAAGTGGGCAACCTGTTTCAGTTGTGCGCTTTTAATGCTGTCAATGGTTAACTCTTCCAATGTCTCACAAACGCTTGTCATTACATCGAGAAAGTCTTGACTGCCCTCTTCATTAAACTCCTTCATTTGCTTACATGATATTGTAAGGGCTTTCGATCGATATCGCCATAACCACTTTATCACCATATTCAGATGTCTGCACACATTTTTCATTGATAGCTGGTCATCCAAATTAAGGTACGAACAGATACAATAGAGACAGTCATCATTCAAATCCAGCAGCTTTGTCATCTAAAAATTTAAAAAGCAAGCTTTTAATAATACCAAAAAATAATGGGTCGATTACGGATGGCAACCGAAGTTCAGACAGTAACTGATTTGCTATATTGGCAACTATACTTTTTAGGTTGCCACAGAATTTTTTAATAAGAAAATTAATTTATTTTTTCAACTGATTCTTTTTTCGTCGTTTTGAGCATAGTGAGTGATAATAATAATATTATTGTTTCACTATGGTTTTGAGAAATTATTTGTATTTACAGTCAAGTCTGAGTTGGTGGTACTTGAAAATACACTTAATTATTGTGTCTATTCATAACATAACATACATTCTCATTTCAGTGGCTTTATCCATTGGCTACCCAACTGAGGTTGTGATGCTGTCCATAATCGACAACTAAAGATTTCTTCCTTATGTTAAATGTAAAAAAATACGGTAAAAATATTCTTTATGATATTTTGTGACCATGATATGATCCAAAAACAGAATTTCGGATATTTCTATGAAAATGATTAATTTTGGTCGATAGCCAACCGGGAGAAAAACGCAACCAAAACATTTTACCTTTAGTATATTTTAATTTAAATAAATTACATTTTATAAATTCCATTTTAACAGGGCTAATTATGAATAGTGTTGGTGTCGTCACGTAATACATATTACTTATCGAAATCGTTCACACAACAATCGGGTCTACGTAACCAGAACGACCCAGATTTATATTTGGCCAAGGACTGTCTCTCCAGCAACACTCCCCAAAAACACTTTGGGTAACGTGTATGCTGCTACCACAACAACAACGGGTCAGCAATAAATCGGAGGGCAAAAGTGTTTGCACCAGGGTCCATTAATAATATTGTTTTTATTGTTATAACAACATATCCAGGGTTTAGATATATTCAATACCCTCTATCGGCAATTTGCACAAAACTAGTTTCTGGTATTAGAATCCATTTCATCATTAATAGTAAATTATTCCAAAGAGCGATATATAAGGTCAACATTAACATCATCGGTTTTTATATAATGACCTAATGTAGATGGAGGGTATTGAACATAAATATGTGATATTATTTAGGCATCTAATTCAAAAATTGTTTCTAGGACATATTACAAACGAAATCAAATTCATATCCCCGATATACATAACTCAGCCCTTTTTCAGATCCAGCTGGGAAATCCATTGATAAATCAACCAAGCCTAGTGCTTGCCAAATTTTGGTATTCTGAAAAAAAGAAAAGGAAAAAATCTAGGCGCTTTTCTAATAAAGATTACTCACCATTTTTCGCACTTCATCCTCTAAGCCACTCATCATGTAATAGATATGTAATGCATTATTTCTATCCTGTTTCTTGAGTACATCCATTATTTGATAAAGCAACTTTCCATCTATATTAGGACAATAACTAACGTCCAAATATTCTAAGTGTACACATCGCTCGACGAAATGTAGAACGTGGTCATTCGTCAAATGTTGCCAATTTCTCAAACTAAGATACTCCAAGCAGTTCATTATGTTAGCCAAATTGAGCAGTGGATCGGGTGATAATTCACAGCTACAAAGGCAGAATTTTTTTAACTTACGGCCACCCTGCCACAGATTCAAATTTGAAGCCCAAGCAGAATCCAACGGAAATAATAAAGATCAACTGCTAAGCCAATTATACGCTCACCTTGATTTTTTAATACATCATGGAATTCTACTGTTTCGTATATATTAAAATCATGCGTATCTACATTCTGAATACTTCCAACGTCGATCTCAGAATCCAGCATTACGTTGAGTGATACTAGTTTTGGCATCAGCAGAACTTGAGGAAGACATTTTTTAAGCGGATGTAGATTTACTTTAAGAACTGCTAAATTATCACAATTCAACACAGGTGTCAAATCCAAATGACTCTTTCCGTCATATCTGCGCACATCTAAAATTCGCAAATATTTTAAACGGATGCAGATTGCCTCAAAATGGGTATTTTCAATTTCCAAAACGTTATTTGATGGCACGTACAAATACAACTCCTCCAACATTAGGAAATCACAAACATATCGGCCACTTAATGGTTCTCTCAGATGCAGTGAGAGTAGGTTTGGAACAGTTCGTACGAGTATCTTCATATCGCTGTCAGTAATCATGCTATATAACGATTTTTCCTCACCCTCAAAATGTTGTACACTTGGCAGGCAGACCGTGCTACTGATAGGTCCACAAATCTTCTCCTTTGCTTTTAAAATTTGCTTTATGTTAAGCAAAAACTTGTTTAAGGTTTCATCGCCAATCACTATAGACGTCAAGCTAGTACGTACTGAATGCAAAAAATATGTTAGATCTTGTATTTCTGGCAGCCAACCAAACCATTCTGATAAATTAAGTGTTCGATAGCATTTCTGCGAGCGCCACATACGCCTGATGATCGCTTCGAAGCGTTTGCAAACTCGAGAGATTTGAACCTGATTTCGAAGTTCTGGTACATTATTGAAGATATTCACCAAACAATCATCGTTTAAAATATCCATTTTTATGCGTATGATTTGGAATATATAAAAACTGATACAAACAAAGATCACTAATTAGTCCTGTGCAAATTTGTAGCTTCCTTTATACGCATATTTGTATATCAATCTTTGCTTATGCAATTACAAGGCAGAGAAGAAATAAACATAATACATACTTATAGAATCATGATACTACACATATATGTTTTAATAATCTTTATGCATGCATTAGAAGAATATAGTGCTCTGTGATACTTGCCGCCCAACTGATAGCTGATGCTAGCGCTGCTGGACAATTTTAGTTTAGATAATTGTTAACTTGTATAAGCTTGTAAATATATAAAAATCATGTATGAACATAAGAACTAAGATTTATTATATTTAAGTACCTTGATACAGATTTCCGAATATACAATTTTGTATTAGGAACTTGTTGAATTGGTAACAATTGTGCAAATCGCTATTTATCGCCAACCTTTGTAAACTTCTTTGACAATAGAGCCGGAAAAACAAACCATCCTGAACTGCAAAACACTCGATGAAACCAAAGAACGTAAATGTATAAGAAGCGACAACTCGCTAAAGTCGGCGAGTGAGGTCTGAAAGGTTGAGATGAGGAGTTCGCGTCCGTTTTAACATCCATTTTCGTAAACGAATTCGCCGCACATATGGTTTCGCGGCGATAAAGAACGTTAAGAAAAAGTGACCGATGATAGAAATAATAAAATGAAATGAAAAAAAAACATGGCCGCGGCTCTTTTCGTTTATTTACTGACGGCATTTAACAATTTGCATGCGCATGTGCATAGATTTACTTTATTTTATAATTTTAAACAAATATAAATAAATTAAATACATGCGCGATGCAAGACCTTTATAAGCTTCCTCTTTAGTATGGAAATTGTAAAGTTCTAATTTATGGATGAAATTACCCCTTTTATATCAACCAAATGTACATTTATAATCAATAAATAATTTACATCAATTTGTACAAATGTACTCTTGCGATTTTCATCCTAACATGTGTATGTTTCTACATCCATGCAAATATACGTATATACGTACATATGTATGTACATATACGCATATGCCACCAGAATACAACAATAACAAATTCATTCATAAACGCATGCGCATATTCTTCAAGGTCAAACTCATTCATTCATAATTCAATGACCATACTTCTCCCCGCAAACTCATCGCCCACAAGCGCAACTTCTGCGCGAGGGCCACAAAAATTCTAAAATGTAAAATTGAAGAAATCACAGCCAGTCAAATGAAAAGTTGCAACTCAGCAGTAAAATTTGAGGACGTTTGCAAAAATAACTTATCTCGAGTTAAGACATATATTCTGTAAACTTCTAAATCGCAGTGGTTTTCCAACTTTTAAGATATTAATTAGTTGTTTAAGATTTTATTTTAATAAAAAACAAAATAAACATGCATTTTTTTGCACAAATGGCCCCGGATATTTTGATGTCAACTCAAAACTTCTAAAATCACATACATAAGTGGTTTTACAACAAATGTAATTTGGCAACATGGTTGCATTCACCAGCTTCGGTCATCAATTTTAAAATTTTTGTAAACCGATCGCTTACGATTTGTTTACAGTTGACTCTAGATACTACGAGCAACATGTATACGAATTCAAAAAATTTAATTATTTTGCATTATTGATAATTGCAAAGCTCTGAAGCATGTATAAGTGAGTGTATACATACAGACCTATTCTCCGTTGGTAACACAAATTTTGTTTACTATCATCAAAAGCGATAAGCACAAAAAATCGTACATTAACAAGCCCATTCTGCGATGGTAATTTTTTTTACCCAAAAATAAAGTTCCTCTCCTTTTTAAACCGTTTTCGCATACTGCGCACTTTTGTAAACAGTAAAATTTGTTACCATCTCATAAGCAGGTAACAAAATATTGCCCCATGAAATATGCAACAACAGAATTTCTACAAAACTTCATAGCTGGAATGCTGAATACATTAAAACGTTACCAAGGAACCTTGAATTGCGGTTACAAGAAGTGCTAACAATGTTTGGTAACAAAATTTGCTGGTTACAAAATATTCGGTAACAAGCAGATTAGAGCTACAGGAATTCAAGTTAGGAGTAGCCTACTGTAAACGTACATATGTATGCGCGTAAATATGTCAGGACGCGGCATTTTGCAGGAATTTAAGAATTTGTCAAGATAAAGATGGCGGAGGACGTGGGAGAAACGGAGACAACTTATGTTTCACATTTACGCGTTTGTTTTGGCGGAGGATGTGAGAAAGACGGAGACAACTCATGTATCACATTTATGTGTTTATTTTTTGCATGCATATGAACAAAAAATTGGAAAACATTTGTTCTTGCCCGATAACAAAATGTATGCATACTCATGTATAAATGCATAGATTTAAATTAAACTTATGCCATCCCTTTATAATAAACATTAGTTTTGCTAATAAAGCCGCCATATACACACTTTATCCACCCAATCGCCCGACACATAACTTTTTTTGCACACTTTAAATATGTAAATTTCCAGATGAAAACAAAACATAAGTACACTCATATATAAATGCATAGATTTATTATTAAACTAATGCATTTTTATATAAAAGTACACTGATCTTGTTTAAAATAATGATCACTTTTATCCACATACACCGACAATCGACACTTGTTGACGAACACTTTGCACTCACAAACACCTTTTTATTATTAATATAGACACTTTCACATACAAGCACCTCCGTATTTTACACAAGCACTGAATATTCTATATTTCACACCATAATTTATATATTTTCTAAATTAAATTGCATATTTTCAACCACTTGTGCAAATAACCACAGAAATTCACACACATTTGCCGCTTTTCTTCTGTTTTGCTGGCATATTCCGCATTCGAGGCGAAAATCAAAAATCTGCCGCGGACAGAGTCAAAAGGGAGACGAACTCCTCATCTCAACCTTTCAGATACGGTCAAAATCGTCCCGGCACATTTTCAAAGTAACGAGTTGTCGCTTCTTATACATTTACGTTCTTTGGTTGTGGGGATTATATTTTTTCTATCTACAATCATTACCAAAAAAAAGTGATTTTACACAGCAAGACATGTCATGCCATATAAATTGCTCACAGCATCAATACCAAGCTAGAAATTGCACCACATTTTTTTTGCTCGTACTGTCTGCATATCTACTCGTTATAACTTTTGTTTTGACAACGAGAGCTGTTGAATTTTTAAAAATTGCCGTCCGAAAGAAATAAGCTGCATTTTCGCCTTTTCCAGAATTATTTCACTACTGCTGAAAGTTTTAAAGGGAATTTCGCCTATATACAAGCTATTAATATGTTAGACGAAGAATTATTTGCGGAACCTTGTTTGGAGCGCCATTTCGCCGGGCATTGCTCTGGTATTACGCAGGTGCGGTTTAGTCCGTGCGGCCAACGTTTGGCTACCAGCTCCTTAGATATTTCCGTGATTTTGTGGGATCTAAAGCAAGCTGCGCGTTGTATCCGTTTTAGTGCGCATTCAGGAGCTGTGGATTGCGTAAGCTGGTCTCCAAAATCAAATTTAGTGGCTTCGGCGAGTAAAGATCGCACTGTGAAGATTTGGGAACCGAAAATACGCGGCGTTTCTGGTGAATTTTTGGCACATAGCAAGGCGGTTCAAAGTGTAGATTTTGATCCCAGCGGAACGATGGTAATGTGGTTAATAATAATCAATTATTTTTCACAAAATGCATTGTAATAAGTTCTTTCGAAATCTATACAGCTAATTACAGCATCAGACGACAAAACGCTAAAACTCTGGAAAGTCGCCCAACGCAAATTCCTAACATCTTTCACTGGACATACAAATTGGGTGCGTGCAGCAAAATTCAGCCCTAATGGCCAGTTAATTGCATCGTGCGGCGACGATAAGTCGTTAAGAATTTTCGATACATCTTCAGGCGAATGTGTGCGAACGTTCACCGAGGAAAGAGGTATGGGACGACAGCTGGCATGGCATCCAGACGGTAATCTGGTGGCTTTAGCATTAAGTTGTAACCGCGTTAAGATATTTGACATAGCCGAAGGCGAGCTGATA